AAGGCAGTATATGCTGAATTCCATGCAATCATCATGGCCTTTCAATCAACTACTAAAGTCTTCCAAGTTTCATGATGATAGAGTGAGGCATCAGATATTTGGTGGATCCCACTGTCCCTCAAACCTTGTCCAGTCTACTTTTCCTTTTCAATTAGCTAGTTTCATTAATCGGTGGCAACATTGAAGGGAATGTTCTTGTAGGTGAGCCTTCGCAATCCTCACCGAACTAACCTGCGATCATCTTTCAGCAGTGAATTTAGCAGGGCTTATGATAACTCTGTAAACTAAGTCAATAACACCCTTTCATAGCTTGCATGATTAAGCTAAATTTGGAAGGGAAAAAAGGTCAGTCAAAAATTCATTCTAGCCGAGCTAGCAAGACAAAATCTCATTGGCGAGAGAGCTCGTGGCAAAAGCTTGAACTTCAGGTACAATAGATTCAAGTTGATTGTTCAGAGTGGAATCCTTTCGATGCTAAAAGATCATTCATTAAGTGATTTACCCCAAAATAAAATATATCTGAAGCCAAAAGGAAGAAACTTGAGCTCAATTTGAGGAATTCACCACACGAGCTCTTGTGGAGTATTAAATAACCAATCATTAGCAATTTGGTCAAAGACAATAGACATCGAATTTACCAGATCAAAATCCGAAATCAAGCGGGTGAAATGAAGCCAAATGCACTCTCTTCTTTTTCAAGTCACTGGGGACCCTATTTACACACTGTCTGTGTTCACACAGTTGGGGAAATAGTTTTTCTTTTTTTCTTTTCTTTTATATATATATATATATATATATATATATATATATATATATATATATATATATATATATATATATATATATATCAAAAACTTAGTTTATCTCCAGTATGTCAAACGCAGGCTGTTCATACCAGTAAACGAAATTCAGGGAAAAAAACATTCTTAAAGTACGGTAATGAAATTAAAAATAATAAAATAATCCATAACCACTTACTCATCTAGGTCAGTTATCAAGCAAGATCATATGTGCATGCCGAATAACATATTAACATGCTTCCCCGAGCCATCATATCCTAATATTGAAAAGGAAAAAAGAAAAAGAGGCTAGCTGGTTGCACACATATGGCATTATAGTTTAGAGCTAGCATCATTAACATCTCTCTTGCTACTTAAAGCCCGGCATTCATGGTGGTTAAGGTAGCTAGAACCATAACAGCACCAGACCAACCGCATCACCGCGTTAGTGTAGAGTGTTTGCTTGTAAACTTTGACAATTTCGGCATGGCATGTGACAATTTTGACAAATACTTGTAGTTTGGGCGACAATGCGAACCCTAATATGCTTGGAAGCTGTTATACATACAGAAGATTCTCAATCCAATTTCCAGATGCACTCAATTAGGAGCTTTTGCACATCATTCCGATATTGTCACGGGCTACTCCCCCGCGTTGTTGCCACTAAAAGTTATCAATCATGGCAAAATCTGCCACTACATATATTCATTTGATTTTTTGTTCAGATAGCCAAGTACCATTCGGTAGTCTCAAAATAACTCTTGGTTATATTTTCTTTTTCTTTTTCTTTTTCTTACAGAAATGAAAACCGTGTCTTGATTTCAAACATGGCTATTTTATTATTATTATTATTATTATTTGGAGTGCATGCATATATCCTCGACATGTCTTTGCTCAGAAGCCACTTATTGAATCAATGATACGGGTCGAACATACGTGAGGTCGGTGTGGCCTTTCTGCCGGTGATGATTATAAAACTAGGAGCGTGATCAATTGGCTATTTTTCATTTTTTAAAAAAAAAATTTAGAGAGATTTCAAGTATATGGTGTCATATGGTTGAACAGGAGGTGGTGTTGATGTATATTGGAAATTAATGATTACCGAGTGTTGGCTATTCTAATTTACCAAGAATGTACACCGCGCAATATAGCACTAGAGAGAATTTAGATGGATTGTATTAGTAAAATAATGTTTTTATTCTTTCTTAAATTAGGTTATTAGAAGGCTACGTTTTAAGGGTAAAATAGTCTTTTTATATAACTCAGCTGTCATTCTTATTTTTAGTGGGGGGTATAAACATATTTTCAATTTTTTTTTAAGAATGAAAAACATTCACTACTGTAAAAAGAAAACACCCAGAAATTTGATTACTATGGGTTTTTTTTTAGATTTGTGTTTTTATGGATAGCTTAATCTCTATCTTATCCTTAATGTTAGAATTAATTAAGGCTTGCATGGGGGCATTTGTGTATTTTTATTATTCTGAGCATAGTGAAATCATGAAATTAACCTTTATCTTGGAATTTATTTAGGCTTGGTTTGGGGGCAATTTCATGTTTTTACATGTACATATTTCCTCAAGAACACATCAGTCAGTTAACGCAAGTGAGGTTCTAGCCTAGCGGTGGGGGTTTTTTTTTAGATTTGTGTTTTTATGGATAGCTTAATCTCTATCTTATCCTTAATGTTAGAATTAATTAAGGCTTGCATGGGGGCATTTGTGTATTTTTATTATTCTGAGCATAGTGAAATCATGAAATTAACCTTTATCTTGGAATTTATTTAGGCTTGGTTTGGGGGCAATTTCATGTTTTTACATGTACATATTTCCTCAAGAACACATCAGTTAAAGGTTCAGTACTTCTCTTTTGAGATCTCGAATTCAGACGTGAAAACAGTGGGAGGGGATTTATATCAGGGAGCACCATAATTGTTAACTGATCGGTTGCCCCAGAGTATAACCTAGCTAGATTTTAAATTAAATTGAAAAATGATTTGACTTGATTGTATTGATCAAGTTTTTATTGATCAATCTGAATGTGTCAACTTTAATTAAAAAAATAAAAAGAAAATAACATTGCTTTAATAGGAATAATTGATTGGATAACCCATGAATTACTTGATAACCCAATTTTTTTCCTGAGTTGGTCTCCAAACCGGTCTCATAACATATATATATATTTATTAGGATTTTTTATACAATAAGCGAAGGATGATTTTCTAATTTTGATTGCATATCCAGAGGTGATCATTTTAGGTTTGATTAAGTTTTTATCAAAAAAATAACTAAATTAAAATTAAAAAATCAGTTTAAATTAACTGATTTCGGTTAGTTTCAGTTTGGTTTTTTAAGATAAAAACTAGTTCAAACCGGTTTGGCTCAGTTTTTCAGTTTAACTATATTTTTTTTGGTATTTTTTATTTTAAATTTATAAAACCAAACCAAACTGGTCAGTTTTTTTAAAATTTTAATTTTTTTAATCAGGTTTTTTTACTATTCAATTTATTTTATTTTATTTTCTATTTTTCTATATTTAATCAATTTTTTTAAAAAAAAATCTTACCCTAGCATATATCTAACAAAGCGCGGCCCCATGGACATGCGTAGGCTAAATTAATCCTTAGTGCTCTAAATAGTTGGGCTCGGATAATTATCTGAATTTTTTTACTAGATATCAGCCCAGACCATGAATAACAAAAAAAGGTAGCATGGTCCTTAAAGCTACTGGGCTGCTCCCTTGGGCTCGAATTTGCATCCCTCCTCGAGACGGGTTGCCCAGGCCCATCTTGCTTGCAATTTAGCTGACGATTTCAAATTCGATGTTAGTTTTATACATATATTAGTGTTCTTGACAAGTACATTACATAGCATGTGTATCAATAAAAAAAATTATAAAAATATAAAAAATAAAATCAATAAAATATTATTTAAGAATGACATTTGAATAAAACCATTTATATATATCAAGCAAACATAACTTATAAATGTGAATAGAAATTTTACTCGGGACTTCATTAAACTTTAAACATGATTATATTGTCACAGTATTTTTTATAAATATTTTTATTTTATATAATTTATTTCTAATGCATGTGAGGAGAGTATTAAAAATATAAACGTGGAAAAAAATTGTATTCTATCTTTTACTCAAGAGTCCCTTTTTTTTAGATTAATATAGTTTTTCAAAATGTATAAATCATTTCATCTAATAAGGTCAGAGATAGCATGAGAAAATAACTAACAAGTTCTATGAATTTCATCATCTAGAGGAGTAAAAAATAATATCAGAAAAACGATAAAGGACCTGATATCTATGTATAATAAGGGATCAAAATTAGTGTAATTATTTTGAAACATTTTTTTATGTATTTTTAAGAGTACTGGTAGTTATTTATTGAATATTTTAAAATTTCTCATGCCCTTATTGTTTCTTATATATATTTTAATCATTGGCTTTTATAAACCCATTTGTAAGTATTTTACGCGTTTTAATAGTCAAAATAAAATGTCGATAATCCCGTACAATGCATAAATAAGACTATATAAAGGAAATAGCCTATTTTTTAAAATATAATATAGTTGAGTATATTGACATATATTTTGCATCATGATATAAAAAATAAATACTTTTCTTTTATATGGAGTGGAATTCTTTTTAATTTTGATATATAATTAATGATTATTGAAATTTTAAATTGTGTTTATTGAATCAAATATTTGGATACAAAGTTCATGTTTATATATACACATATAACAAATTCAATGTTACTGTTCACTCATGCTATTATTTTTTTCTTCGTATTTTGTCTTTCGCCATTTTCTTAACCATGGGTTAAGTTATTATTTAAGAACAAAATGGCGAAGGTAAGAAATTTAAGAGAAAAGCATAAAAGCTAGGGTTATGAAATATCAGGAATTTAAAATTTAATCAGGACTATATATATATATATATATATATATATTTAATTTAACTGAATAGAATATTAATATGATAAGCTAAATTTCTAATAATTTAGTCTAAATCTTGCTGGGGGCATCCAATAACCCCAACCTATTTAGTCCAGGCTTTTTCTTCTTTTTTTTCCACATCATTCCTCGAGTAAGTCCAACAACTATAATAATTACCTCATTTCTAGAACAAAACAAAGAAAAAATCTAATTTTGGATCGAATATTCCATCCCAACTAGGGTTTGCTTCTCTTTTGTTACGTATAAAAAACGGCGTCTCACTTTCTTGGACGGTCGTTGTTTTTGGCACTTTGCTCCTTCACTGCAGCGGAAGAGAAAAAAATCTCAAGCGCGAGAAAATGGAGCAAACCTTCATCATGATCAAGCCCGATGGTGTCCAGAGAGGACTAGTAAGTTCCTTTTCCTTCTTTTCTTGAATTGGGGTTCTAGTGTTATCGATTTCTTGAAACAATTATTGATAAAAGTAACAGTTTTAGTGCTTGTCTGTGGAGAAAGAATACAGAGATTAGATCTATCGTGGGTTTGAATTATTTTTCTGGAAAGCGAAAGCTTTTAAGCCCAAAAGGGCTTTTTAGTGTTTGATAGCTGGTTGGAATTTTTTAGAAAAATCAATATTCTGAAAAGATTCTTAAAACTTTTCAGGTTGGTGAGATTATTTCAAGATTTGAGAAGAAGGGCTTCACTCTCAAAGGTTATTAATTTGCTCTTGATTTCTTCAAATGTTGTAAATTGTTGTGCATGTGTTGTTAACTAAGATTTTTGGGGGAATTCAATGGCTTAAACAATACATCATTACTGTTGTGTTACATGTGGGTATTAATTAAAAGTAAAACAAAACAGAAGTATCATGCTGGTTGCTGATTTAGTATGAATTGTTTGGGTTTAGGTTTGAAACTATTGACCGTTGAGCAGTCTTTTGCTGAGAAGCACTATGAGGACCTGGCCACAAAGCCATTCTTTTCTGGTCTTGTCGAGTATATTATTTCTGGCCCTGTTGTTGCTATGATCTGGGAGGGCAAAAGTGTTGTTGCCACTGGCCGGAAGATAATTGGAGCCACAAATCCTGCAGCTTCTGAACCTGGAACTATCCGTGGTGATTTTGCTATTCATGTTGGAAGGTCAGTTGTTTTTTCTAATTTCCCTTGGATGATAATCTAAATGTTGTGTTATTATTTATCTCTTTTTTTGGGGATGTGGCCTTTAATCAGTCTTATTAGAATCGAGTCTGTAACAAAATATTTGAAATGCATTCTTCAAATCAGTGGTATAAATATATCTGACGCTGAAGAATTACCGCTGCATTGCAGGAATGTTATTCATGGAAGCGACTCAGTTGAGAGTGCAACTAAGGAAATTGGACTGTGGTTCCCAGAAGGCCCAACTAACTGGCAGAGCAGTCTTCACCAATGGATCTATGAGTAAACTTTTGTCAGTCTAGAAGTTGTTTGCCACCAGCCATTCTAATTATCTTGCTTCTCATGTTTGCTCCTGAAGGTTGTGTTTCCTTTGCTTTGTTTACCTGCTTAAGTTGTTGTGCCTATCAGCATTTAAACTTTTGTCAGTCTAGAAGTTGTTTGCCACCAGCCATTCTAATTATCTTGCTTCTCATGTTTGCTCCTGAAGGTTGTGTTTCCCTTTCCCTTGCTTTGTTTACTTGCTTAAGTTGTTGTGCCTATCAGCATTTTTGTCAAGCTATGCTGCTACTTGAGGTATCTTCATCGGTAACAGTTGAATTGAGTTTGTGTTGAGTTATATTTATATTAAGTGAATTTTGAAAGAACAGAACAAATGCTAGGCGTGCATGTTTATTTTATCCACGTTTTATTCGTTTGTTCATGTCTTGCTGCCTCTGATCACCATTACCCGTACTCGGAAAGCCTTGTTTGCCATTTATGTACAAGTATGACTTGATTTTAAAGACTGAAACAAACGGATTTTATCCAATGACCAATTGTTCTATGCCATCCTTTAAACAAACGAAGCATTGGTTCTAATTTATTTTTCCGGGGTTTTTTTCGAGGTAAGAAATCTTTGCCCATGTCTAGAATGAAAAGCAAGGGTTCCAGGTAAATCTTTCAGAAAATACGTTCAGTTCCACCTGGTACTCATTCCCAAGACAAAAACAAAATAGAAGAGGAGAGATAATTAGAATGCCGTTGCCAATATTCTGTCTTGGGGTTGTTCGAAAATATCTTAGAATTTACCAGTAACACAAATATTTTGTCCTGAGGTGTTTGAAAATATAATAAAAAAAAATTTAAGTGTTTTTTATTTAAAATATATTAAAATAGTAAATTTTTATTTTAAAAAAATTATTTTTGATATGAATATATAAAATACAAAAACAATTAATTAAAATAAAAAAATAATTTTTTTAACACACTTTAAAATGTAAAATATATCTTTAAAATAAGTCAACTTAAATGCAGCCCAACCCTGTATTTTACTGGTGTTTTTCAAATACTTTTTTAAAAAATTAATTATTTTTATAAATAAATATTATTTTAATATATTTAAACAACAACTAACACCATATCAAACACTATACTAGAATTTATACCCTCAAATTTGTTTGTTTAGGAAGGAAGGTGTAAATCATGATAGTTTTTGCAAAGAAAGTTTGGAACAAAATTGTGTTGTGATGGTAGTAGGCAATTCATAACACCACCAACAATTGCTTCAAAGAAGTTCCCTAATAACAAAACTCAAGGGAATTAACCTAAACAATTCAAACCTGCATTTGGAACCTAAACGCAACCACACTTGTATCCATCCTTATATAAAACTCAAGAAGTTTCTTCTTCCCCTTTTCCGCTACAAGATACTTGACAAACTCAACAAACCCTTTTTATGGAGATTAAATGGGGGAATTCACTAACATAGCTTCGACTAAAGTTTTAATTAGAAGCAACATATCATGTACAAAACACCATTCAACTAAAAGGAACAAGGAGAAGAAAGTGGCAGGAACCCAAACGTGCCAAATGCTGGCAGAGGTTTTTCTGTTACATGAAAGCTTAACTCTCCAACTGCTATACTATCGTGTAAGAAGGGCGTAAGAGGGCAATTCTTCTAGCCGTGTTATGTCTTCAGACAGGAGCTCTCTCTCTAGTTGGCGGCGTGTGGATTTCATTACCGCCTGGTGAAAAAAACATATCAAATTATGGTTTCGTGAGTGTCAAGATCTATGCAAATATTCGAGTGCATTTAATAAATGTTAGTGCTTCTCAGAACGATAATTCATGCAACATGAAAGTGTTAAAAGTCTTTCCCGTCTCTAAAAGGAATTATATGATGGAAGAAAACATACATTGAAGTCCATATATGAAGCGTGCATGTCAAGCCATTCATGATCCATTAGCTTGAATGTTATGCAATAGAGACGGTCAAATGCTGAGTCATCCTCTGCCAAGGCAAAAGCCATAAGTCAAGCCAAAAAGGTAACCAGGATAGATACTTTTGATGTTAAGCTTAGTTGAATCAGATAGTGAAGAGTACATTTTCTACACTAAAATACAAAATTTTCCACAACAATGTATTGGGAAATAAAGAAAGATGAGCATGCAGAACAAGCAATGCCTCCATGAATGCAATTTCTACAAATTTTCCATCAAAAGCATTTCTAAGCCAAAATAAAGTTCTAGAAACTTGGAAGCTATTACCTGCTAGAAACTTCAAGAAAGTTGCCCCCACCAGCGTGCGTGGTTTGACTGTAGAATAGAAGCACACAGTTTACATTTCCAGAAAATCAAGCTCCAATTCTGAAAATCTAGTTCCAAGGCTACACTTTGGGTGTCCCATGGATATCAAATAATTATATTGAGCTTTAAACAGTTAATCCAGAAATGAATTCCAATTCAAAATTTCAAATATACATTGCATGCAGCTTGGATATGAAAGAATTCTATTATGCTTTGCATGGCTAAAACGAAAGTACAAACATGATTGCCTGGAAAAAGCAAAACACCATTCAAGAAAACCTACAAGAAGCTGGTAAAAACAAGTTTGAAGAAAATCATGAGCCTCATTTAAAGATCTCAAAAGCAAAATAAACTACTTCAGAATGACATGTAAACCAAATCCATGGGCAACAAACTTCAAGATATCCTTAATATCCAACAGAAACCAAAGACCAATAGATATTATCTCAGAGCAAACCATTAAATACTAATAACCATTGAAAGGAAACTTTGGAAATCCGTAACCTCCTCCAATTTATAGTGCTATGGGTTACCAAACAAAAAGAACTTTTCCCCAAGAATCCCTGCTTCAAGATCAAGCATCTGAATGAGCATAAAAGTGATGTTCACACCAGCTACAGCAAATGGGTATTCCCATACTGATCGATCACCTTCTCGCTTTTGAAGAAGATCCTGGAAGGACGTCTGCATGGACAGGATGGTTACTTTCATTTAAAAAAAAAAAAAACCAAAGATGATAAAGATAACAAAATTTAAACGGTCCTAATTTAAAATCATCACTTTCAAAAAAAAGTACCACGCTAGCTTTTGCATAGGGTTGCTAATGTTAAAACTTATCAACCATCTGGTAAATAATAAAACTGCAACAACTATTGTCAGTGGAACACATATGAGTGTGCCAATGCCATGAGGTAGAACAATCTCAATAAAGCCCAAGCATAAATATTGTTGAGTCCATTAAAAAATGTAATATAATAATAGTTCATGCTTCCACGATTACAGCTGAAAACAATTCTAAAAAGACTTAGGGAGCAACAGAGCAGATTAAGTTGACTAAGGTTGCAAAACTAGACATACCGGAAAATTCCTAGCAAAGAACAACAAATTCTCCAATGATATAAAACCACCACCCCTGAAAAAATAAATACAGGTATCATAAGCATAAAAAGGCAATGAAGGTGGAAATAATGAAAGCAACAACATGGAATTAATAAAGGAACCAATGGTCTACCTAAAGTCTGTTGAAGGATCCTTTCCTTGCCAACCCATTTCCTTCCACTGCTCAGATATCAAGCCATGAAGTTCTTCTTCAGGAAAGGCAGCATTCCATAAGGCTTTCAAAGCTTCCTAGAGGAAAACAGCAATAGTAAAAAATAATGCAATCAGGGAGCCTTTACGTTTCAAAAATTAATGACCTAATTCTATGCATGAAATAAGTTGAATTGAAAAGTTAAGGACTCGTGAGAATGACAAATCTAGCAAACACGCAATTCATCTGTATACTTTAAATTGGTTGTACTGATTCTATTTCTGTCACATCCAAATCATCAATGGACCTTCGGAAGAAGGGGTACCTGTGCCCAGGAACTAAACTATCATCGGCAACATGAGATATATTGAATTGAAAAGTTAAGGACTCATGAGAATGAAAAACCTAGCAAACGAGCAATTCATCTGTATACTTTAAATTGGATGTACTGATTCTATTTCTGTCACATCCAAATCCTCAATGAACCTTCAGAAGATGGGGTACCTGGTGCTCAGGAACTGAACTATCATAGGCGACATCTATACGACTTTGCAACCTCTGCAAGCATTCCTCCTGAATGCATCAAAGAGATAACAAAAATATACTATTTTAATCGGAAAGCATGGTAAGTCACTAAATTGAAAGCAAGGGCAACAAATAGTTTTAAATTGGAAGATCAGTAGCTTTGATAATTCTCATTTGGCATTACTTCTGTAGCTGTTTTAACATTAATGAAAACACAAGACTAATATTAACAGGGTACATGAACTTTGATAGTTGAGTTGGTAACACTATAAAGAATATTGGAATATGAAAAAATAGTTAAAAAGTTAATGATTTTCATTTTACTTTTCCCAAGAAGTATGACATCCATGATGTTCACAAAATGAACGACCACTACTGCCCAGCATAGTTGTGATAAATAACATGGATTAATGGGCACAGAATGAGTAGGAATTATGTGACAATATCACATGATGAGAAGTGGAGAGACAGGGTCTCAAGGAAATCAAGCTCAAGAGAGTCATATATATTAAAAGATGGTAGCATGAAACAGTTGCCCTTTTAGAAATTTGCTAGCAAGAATTGCAGGATTTGACCCATAATTTAAAACATCAACTGCTTTCTTCTTGACCGTATATGAATCCTCTTCTCACCCAAACTAAACCAAAGGATTTGACCTTGGGAAATTAGTAGGTTTACAGGGCAACAGGGAACAGATGGGAAACCATATACAGATAAATATCCAGACTTTTGAGGAATGAACCACAAATGATTAAAGAAAGCAACAGGAGTACACAAACAACTAAAAAGGAGAAAAACCCATTCAGTGTTTTTGTTATAATCCATCGCAAAGAGAACAAGTGTTGAATTTACATTACAAACTCAATACACATGGAAAAAAAAAGGCACAATGACAGAACAAGTGTTGGATTTACATTACAAACTCGATACACATGGAAAAAAAAAGGCACAATGAAATGCAGAAAACATTGATCATGAAAGTGAATCCCTGTAAGCTTGTTTTCCCTATGAAATAGAGACATGAGGAAATAAAATTAGATTTAAATTGATCTAGTATGAATAATACCTGTGGAGGGGTTAAATCAAATGATGGACGAGCATCACTCTCTCTTCTCTGTGCACAAACACAGGAAAGACCACGGCCAAGCCAGGCTGCTGATCCTGCCACAACCTCAGCTGTGACAAAATAAAAACTTACGGTTGAAAGATGAAATTTCTACAACTTCAACAGTGAAGCTTCACAGTCCACTAAGCAACCATATTCCAAGTTTAACAAGCAGAAAACGATCCACATGCTTCATTACTAATCCTCCATACAAGAAAGAACATCAAACTTCTTAATGAGCATGCTTCAAGCTCATTATCCTACAATCTTTCTTCTAAACCACAGAAACATAAATATGCTTCATTAAAGTAATAGATCCAAATTATTGACAAGTAAATGAAAGCAAAATGTGATTGTAGCATGAAATTAACATCTAAACAAAAAAATTGATGCATCGACTTCAGATTGAAGTGTTTTAAAAGGAAAAAAAGAAACGATTTCTATCATGATGAGTAACCATTAATCACCTATAGCTTTAACCATAAACTAAAACAAAAAAGCAACTAAGGCAAATCAAAGTAGTAATAGGCATAAAATTACAGTATTAGAAACAAAGTAAGTAACCTACCACAACAAATTTGAATATCAGGAAACATGAAGGTAGCGTGAAGAATTTTGTTGTTACTCAAAACCTAATTAATAGTAAATAATTAATTCAATTCAAGCCACAGATCCAGTAATCAAAAAAATACACGGAAGAATAATAAGAATAGCACGTTAACAGAGAGAGAAAAGGTTAAAACAAGATTACCAGAACTTGAATGGCAAGTATTATTTCCTCGCTCGAAACCTTAAAAAATCCTCCCCCCAGCCACAAATGATCCTCCTCTATCGTCCATTCTCTCTCTTCTCTCTCTCTCTCTATGTATATATTCACTTCAGCATTTCACTACTGAAAAAACCAAACAGAAACCTAAAAATCACACCAAAAAATACCAAAAAAATCGTCAGCGTATTGAAATAAGAGCTAAAAGAAGTACCAAAACCACCGCGAAATCGGAAATGCCGGCCGAATCAGTTCTCAACCGGGTCTGAATCACCAAGTAACAATTAAGAATTACAGAAAATGAAGAACGGATAAGGAGCGATTCTATTTCTTCGTGGAATTAGCAAAAGAGGAACGAAGCGTTGGAGAAATTGTTGAGACAACAAAGAAGAGAATCTATATGAATGAGAGGGAAAAATAAGAAGGAAAGCTAGGGGTTTTTTTGGGAGATCTAAGAGGAAGAGAGTAGTGTGGTTGTGTGAGAGTTTTTCATTGTTTTCTCTTCTGTTTCAGTTTCTCTGGATTTTTGGAGGCATCTTGTTTGTTTGGTGAGGGGAAGAAAGAAGGAAGAAGGAAGGGCTATATTTTAGAGAGAGAGGATTGTGAATAACGAATTTAATGGGATTTAATTAATGTTCTTGCCAATTCGGTAACGCCGTTTACTAATAATCTTGGATTTTTTTCACCCTTCGAAGCTTAAATTTTGTGATGAGCTGGTTTGTTGTTAACCACCTTACTATTTCGGATTCGAATCCAACAGTAGCTAGGTTGCGAGTAAAAAAAAATATAAATATATTATATATCAAGAATTTCATGAATAAACAATTTAATCTTATCATGTTAAAGTTAATGTGAGAATATTTTTGTCATTAAAAAAAACTTATTATTAATTCATGATTAATGTGTAGTTTTAGGGATTGTAAGAAACATGTAATATTTTAATTTTAAAAAATAAAATAAAATTATAAAATGAAAAACTAGGATTTTTTTTATTGAAATTAATGTTTTTATTTTAAAAATTATATTGAATTTGAAAAAAAAAATATTATTTACGGGTTTTTTTATAAGTATTTTAATATTTTTTAAATAAAAATAAAACATGATCAATATATAAGAACTTTTGACAGTATAAAAGATTATAATTATTATAGTATTGTGAATTGAATTTTATTATAAATCCAATATAAATATTTTTTTAAGCTGACAATATAATTTTTATGATAATATTTAATTAAAATAAAATAAAATTAATACTTTAAAATTATTTTATCATGAATATAAGATATTAAGATAACCATTGTAAATTATTTTTATTTTTTATAAAAAAAATAGTTGTAATTTTGATGTATTCTTATTTTTAAATAAAAACATTTTCATTCTCAGAAAATTTTAAAAAAAATTATTTAAAAGGTAAAAAACTAAAAGTATAAAATAAAAAATATTTTTTTATTAATAAACAGATATTTAATGTTTGATTTTGTATTTTGTGTTTTGTTTTTTTTTTTTTTTTCCTAGTTGATTGTGGAGGAGTTGTTTAACTTCCGCGGTTCTTGTGGGAAACGGCACGGGGAAGTTGATACCTCGATGGTGATGGCGTGGGCTTTAAAAGGGAAAAGGTGCAAGGCGAAAGGGCAAAAAAAAGGTCGGGTGTGGAGGGGGCATAGGAAGGTTGACTGATTGGTTTAGGATAATTTGGTAATTTAATTTTATGGAAAAAAATTAAAATATTTCTTCATTCCCAGGGGCACGAATTAAATGTTTTTGTTGAGCTTATTTCTCGAAATTGAAGAGATTAAAAAAAAAACTTGGGGGAATGGCTAGTTATTTAATAAGCTTCCAAGGAAATCTAAGCTAGTTATTAACAACCAGTAAATGTTCTCCAACGAGGCTGTGTTGCGTTGGAATATTTCGAAGAAAATTGCGAAAATTTTGATTGGTTTGATTTTATTCGAGCCTGGTGCGTGAAAGTTGAATTTCATGTGAATCTTCTATAAAAAATTAATTTATGAACATTTTAGATTGTGGTATTAAATTTTTTTATTTTTTTAAAAGAATTTTTCATTGTAAAAAATATTAAATTGATTTTTTTATATAAAATTTGTTTAATAGTTTTTAAAATGTTGGTGTAAATTTTTTATAAAAAATATATATTATTTTAATATATTTTAAATTGAAAAATATTTTAAAAAAAAACAAGTATTATCAAACATAAAATTAATGGCTATTCATAACTTCTACATACAATTTAAAAAAGAGAGGCTAAAATTGAAAAAAAAATTATATAAGCTATAAGGATCAAATTATACTATATCTCCACGTACGTATTTGCATATGTATACAGACTTGTCCTAGTGTTCGTGTGTGCATCATGGTATTCATAATTTCAGTTATAATGTAAGATAAAGTCGATCTCTTATTGTATAGTTTAAAATAATATATATTCGTGCACCTACCAGTCATGCATAACAATTTATACATGTTTTGTTTTTTTAAAAAAATATTAAACAAGTTATTTTAAAATTATAGTATAAATTTCTTTAACTTTTTAACTTCTAACTTGTCAATTTTAATTCACACTACTCCTCGAAGAAATCTTTTGGAGCCGTCAAACACATATCTTTAAGTGACTTTTATTAAAAATTATTCATAAAAAAGAATTAAAATTGATTTACGGTGGAAATAGTCGAACACGGTCTATCACCCATCTCTTCTCTGGGCGAGGATGGTAAGGAACACGGGCAAGAAAAATGTTTGGCGACTATTTTATTTTATTTTTATTTTTAATTTAGTTGGATAATTATTTTTTTTAGATTAATGTAGGTGTTTGGACTAGTTTGGCATCGACTAATCCTATGAATGCTAAAATTAACGATAATTTAAGTCTTAATGGTCATCGTATAAGAGTTGGGTGACTATTTTCCTGTACGGGTGAGAGAGAGAATAATCAACGAACGAAAATGTCCTTTAGAAAAGTGAAAAGGGGTCACATGGGATGTTGCCGAACGTGGACCAAGGGCATGATGGATGGAGTTCATTTAAGAGGAGGCCCTACGCCGAAAACATCATTTGTACTTGCTCACACACCATGATGTATACCTCCCTCCAAATTAGAGTCATGGTCCACACGCATGGTCTCTCCACCAACTACTTCTCTACTTTGCGTAGGCGGTGAATCTCTTATCTAATTTTTTCTATTTTTTTAAAAAAAAACTTAAAAGTTAAGCACCAGGAAACTCTGACTATATCTAATTGAGAGATTGTATGTTTTTTTATTACAGTTTGTGATATTCTTTAATTAAAAATATATTAAATTATTTTTTTTAATTTTAATATTGAAATTATAAAAAATACTTATAAAAGAACTAATTTTATTTTCTTTTAAATGATAAACGATTTGAAAAATATTTATATAAAAAAAAAAACATAAGGAAACGGAGTGATAAACGGGCTTGTAACTTTAAGACCATTCAAATAGAATATTAAGTTGATGAAATGTATTATTTATCATTGAATTAAAATAAGAGTATTTTAAATTAGATTCTAGACATTAAAATAAAATTATTTTCAAACATGTTTTTAGTAAATCGTCTTTGTCTAGGATGGTGTATTTATAATGATTTTTTTATGATTTATTTTTTATCCGAGCATAAAATGATTTTAAGATTAAATTTGCTTTTATTTTTTTAAAATTTTATTTAAAAAGTAATTTTATTTTTTAAACTGGATTGATTAGAAGTAAATTGTTTACGTCGCTACAGCAAGATTTGTAAGAATTTTAATCCGTCATCGCCTCATGGCCCCCGGAGACTGGGGCCGAAGCGGCCAGGTATGCGTAACTTTTTTGTGTTTCATAAGGTCTGCCTGCTCTTTCTCTCTCTGTTTTTTTAATATTGTTATTATTATTGTTCCGTTACTTTACTAAGAGTTATTCCCCTGCTTTATTACACGTGGTTTGGCATAAGCAATAATCCCAATTCATCGACTTTAATCAGGTTTCTATTTTATATAAAAGGCGCTTTAATACAATACTGTATGCTTATGCAATTAAATTGACATGCATGGCCTCGGAAGACGAAAAGGAGAAGAAAAAGGAGATTTCATTGTCTTAAAATTTTTAAAAAATATTTTTTGTTTATAAATACAATCAAAAAAATATTTTAAAAGTTAATTCTAACATCACACATAAATATTATCTTAAAAAATAAAAAATTAAAATCAAATCAAATGCAAACTCATGTAATATACAAGACTCGTACACAGTAAATATTGTAAGAAAAGTCCCAAACTAACTCTCAAGAAAGAGAACTAAAATCTGAAGGCCGCAGAGTATGAATTGCATGCAGTTTCCAAAATTTAATAGGATGTGGATTAAAGCAAGTTTGTAGAATCTCTTTGCAATTTAACAAAAGGAGCATGCCTTCTCACTTAAACATGAGGGGAAAAAAACCATTAAACGGGTGTTTTAAAAGGTCGATGCTTTTATGTAAAACACTATTTGTTTTCATGTTTTAAATTGGTTTAAATAATAACATGTTTGATTTAAAAAGATATTAAATTAATTTTGTTGATGTTTTTTAATGATTTTAATATATATATATATATATATAATTTGATAATTTTTTAAATAAAAAAATCTTTTATTCCCCTACTTTATTACACGTGGTTTGGCATAAGCAATAATCCCAATTCATCGACTTTAATCAGGTTTCTATTTTATATAAAAGGAGCTTTAATACAATACTGTATGCTTATGCAATTAAATTGACATGCATGGCCTCGGAAGACGAAAAGGAGAAGAAAAAGGTGATTTCATTATCTTAAAATTTTTAAAAAATATTTTTTGTTTATAAATACAATCAAAAAAATATTTTAAAAGTTAATTCTAACATCACACATAAATATTATCTTAAAAAATAAAAAATTAAAATCAAATCAAATGCAAACTCATGTAATATACAAGACTCGTACACAGTAAATATTGTAAGAAAAGTCCCAAACTAACTCTCAAGAAAGAGAACTAAAATCTGAAGGCCGCAGAGTATGAATTGCATGCAGTTTCCAAAATTTAATAGGATGTGGATTAAAGCAAGTTTGTAGAATCTCTTTGCAATTTAACAAAAGGAGCATGCCTTCTCACTTAAACATGAGGGGAAAAAAACCATTAAACGGGTGTTTTAAAAGGTCGATGCTTTTATGTAAAACACTATTTGTTTTCATGTTTTAAATTGGTTTAAATAATAACATGTTTGATTTAAAAAGATATTAAATTAATTTTGTTGATGTTTTTTCATGATTTTATAATTTGATAAATTTTTAAATAAAAAAATCTTTAAAAGATATATATATATATATATATAATTTGATAATTTTTTAAATAAAAAAATCTTTAAAAACATTTTGCACTACAACAATAAATATTTACACTAAATACATGTTTGATATTATGATACATAAGGCTTTTCAAATATGTTTTTTCATCTAAAAATATATTAAAATATTTTTAAAATTTTTTAATATTGATATATTAAAATCATAAAGAAATACTAAAATAATAATTAATTTAATTTTTATAAGATAAACACACTTTAAAGGAATAAAAATAAAAAATTGAAAGTTGCCGCCCTCCCTAGCAGGATTAAGAGTTAAATACTCC